ATAATTTTATATTTTATTTCTGGTTTGTTTTCTTTGTTGAGTAAGGGAACACTGTGTGTACCAAAAGTCCCATCTAGTGTTCTTTTAAAGTTTTTTTTAAATTTTTTTTTTTTTTTGTGCTGGGAATAGAACTCAGGAACCTGGGTTTGCCAGGCAGGCGCTGTGCCACTGAGTTATATCCCCAGTCCCCCACCTAGTGTTCTTAATTTAAAATAAGACAAATGCAATTTTACAGAATTTGAATGCTATCTCTGGGATATGGTAATGCTCTTTCATGTTTTATCTGTGAAGGAACTTGTAGCCTAAAGATAGGAGAGATTACCAACTGTGGTAATGGAAAATGACAGTCAGAACACAGTATTTTTTCTTTTACCTGAAGGCTGATAGAAGCTGACTCCTACTGGTTTTTATTATGCATAAATTACTTAATGATTTTTTAAACTATATTGATGGATACATACAAGAACGAGCACACTCGATCCTCACCAACTTCTAACATCTTTGTAAACCAGTACAAGTTCAACTAGATCAAGAACGAGAACATGGTCAGTATTACAGAAGAACTACCACCACCTCTAGTTCACATTTCTCTCAGGGACTCTCCCAGGGTCATCAGTGTCCTTCTACAACTGTAGATTAGTTTTGATTCTGACTTTTATATACACATAATCAAGCCATTTATGCTCTTTCATGTATGGCTTCTTTCAATCATTAAGTTTATGGGCTTAATTCATGATGATGCATATGGTTGTAGATTATTCATTCTCACTATTGAATAGTGTCCAACTGGTCTGGACTTAGCATCCCTTGTGCTTTATTCTGCTAATAAGGATTTGGGTTATTTCAGATGTTTAGCTGACGTAGCCAGGCCTAGTGACACATGCCTCTAATTCCAGTCACCCAGAAGGCTAAGATAGGAAGACCATAAAATCAAACCAGTCTATGCAATTTGGCAAGATCTTATGTTGTAATTATTTTTTTTAAAAGAGCTGCAGATATAACTCATTCTCCAGGTTCAATCTCCAGTATCACAAGAAATTAACCACTACAATAATTTTCTATTACCATTCTTATGACTATATTTTGGTAAATACAAATTTTAAAACTTATTTGTGTAATTATGTTCAACAAGTTTACAATTATAGGTTTGCCGTTGTACTCACTGTGCATGTGTTTTTACTAATAGACCAAAGGTGAAGACTTCGCTAGAGTTAGCATTAGTAATAGGTACCACTTCTGGGTAATTGTTGTGTGTCAAGTACCATGCTGTTGATGTATTAGCTAATTTAATCCTTATGACACCCCTATGACAAGTTTACTACTGAGACAACTGATGCGTGAAAAAAAAGTGTTCTATGGTTTTTCTAGTTTGTGAAGTACTTTGCATGGAATGAGGAAGGGGAGGCCTGTGTCTACACGTATGTCCTCATTCTCAAATAAGCAGAATGTACTTTATTAGTATATTAAGCTCTATGAGAAAGCTTCCACTAGAAACATTCCTAGATAATTGCACTGGGCAACGTGTTTCCCATATTTAGGTGACCCTTGCGCCCTCTTCTTTTATATGGCATATAGTAACACTCTGTAC